GAAATTTAAGGCTGTTAACTCTGTGTTGATAAATCTATATCCTATTAATATCCAATTGAAACTAAAATGCTAAAAGACTTTTTGATGGCATAGATCCTTTAATCAGAGCCTTTCCTCTGATACAGTACTTTAAGGTGATGCAAAAGACCAGTTAAACATTTGTGAAAGTGCCTCTCGATTAAACAATAATACGGGAAGTAGAAGCAAGGATAGGATGCAAAAACAGAGCGTTTTACCTCTTGAGGCGACCTACCATCTGAGTTTTCTTCTTTTTCTTTTTTATTGCTCTAAAGAAACCCTGCTTCTCCTTTTCTTTGGATGGCTCGGATGCATTCAGGACCACGGTATCTGGGCCAGTCCTGAAAATAAAACAAAGAGGGCAGAGGATGAAGTCCCGGCTGAGACATTTTTAAATTAAAACTTGTGTCAAACCAGTTGAGGAAGATATAAATAAATGGGACATAATTGTTCTTACAATGGAAAAAGTAAATGAACTCATGTTGATGTAAAACAATCAGGGCCCAAGAAAAAAAAAAAACTAAGAAAATGTTTTTTGTTTATTCAGCAAATAAAGAGTATATGTTAGATTTTAGTCAAACAATATCTAATTACCAGGGGTCAAACGCAGGCTGGCGCTTGGAGTGATTTGTTAAACTGCTGCCATCGCCAGATAAGCCGGAGTCCCGGCCCGGGCCTCTGCCGTCGTGAAAAGACTTGTCTGGCCGGGGAGATGGCACTGTATGACCAACAAAAAGAAACCGTTATAAAAAAAAGAGCACTGCAGGAAATAAAAATGTGTCAAAATTCAAAAGCTATCTCAATTTAACAGCTACCCTGACAACTGGCTACACCACCTCTAAAATGCCTGCAGAAACAATTTTACAGCTACCAACTAGCATTTTAAGGTAACCACTGTCCAGTTTTTAATCCTGCAGCTGATCGCGCTGAAAGTAAAGACCAAAAGGATAAAATAATAAATGCTTCTGATTTTTTTAAAATTAAACTGTCCCTTTAAAATAAACATCTGTCCTGAGATACTATTTTAAGGTAAACTGCAAAGAAATGTAATCTTTTCTATATTAGATCTACATTTTTTAAAGATACAACCATAAACCAAACACGGTTCTAAAAATGTTCCTTAAACTGTTCGAATCTTAAAGTCTGAATCCAAACAATGACTTAATCCCTCGAATTAGAATCACTGTCCCTCCATCCAATAGCATTTGCTTTTTAAAAGTTAAATCCTGAGCAAAACAATTTTGCCCATTATCACAGTTTGCAAATAAAAGGTAAACAAGTATAAATCAGAAAAAATAAACACATTTTTAGTCTAAGCTGGGGTTTCTAAGGAGAGATAACTCCAAGGTGTCCTGGATGGTCTGAGTAACAAATTGCTATTTAATCAAGGAGAAAAACGAGACATTGCAGAACTTGCAGGAAAAAAAAGGCCTCAAAGAAAAATGATCTAATTATACTAACAGAAGCAGATGTCATTTTTTTAAACACAACACCGATTTAGACAGAGGTACTTTTATCTGTTAATTAAGATCACATTTCTATTTGTAAATCATTGGATACTTGCTGTAATGGCTATTTTTCAACACGTTAAAAACTATCGTAGTAAAGGGCAATTGTTTTTACTTTGAAAGAACACAGGAGGCAGGCTGTTTCTACACAGGTGGAAAATTATGATAGAAACTAAATTAAATCTGCATTTACTTTATCTGGAATATTTATATATATATATATATATATATATATATATATATATATATATATATATATATATATATATATTTAACCTACCAACACTTCCTAGGCTCTGTAATTCAGATTCAGTCAAACAATTCAAAATGTAGTCAATGATGGCGAACATTCCTGCCCATATTTTTTCCTAAAGACAGTTTCTCACTTTAATTTAATTGCTTTGAACTAGTTAAGAGCACAGCTCAAATTTGATTATTGATAATTAATTCCCAAAAGGCCATTAATTACTTACATTGAGGAAAATAAGTATTTGAACACCCAACTATTTTGCAACTTCTCCCACTTACAAATCACGGAGGGGTCTGAAATTCTAGGTATAGGTGCATACCTAGGTGCATGTCCACTGTGAGACACATAATCTAAAAATAAAAATCCAGAAATCACAATATATGACTTTTTAAAAAACTATTTATTTGTATGATTGCAAGTAAGTATTGGAACATCTGAGAAAATCAATGTTAATATTTGGTAGTAGCCTAAGTTTGCAAATACAGAGGTCAAACGTTTCCTGTAGTTTTCCACCAGGTTTGCACACACTGCAGGAGGGATTTTGGCCCACTCCTCCACACAGATCTTCTCCAGATCAATCTGGTTTCTGGGCTGTCGCTGAGAAACACGGAGTTTGAGCTCCCTCCAAAGATTCTCTATTGGGTTCAGGTCTGGAGACCAGAACCTTGATTTGCTTCTTCCAGAGCCATCCTTGGTTATCCTGCCTGTGTGTCATGTTGGAAGACCCAGCCTCGACCCATCTTCAGTGCTCTAAATGAAGGAAGGAGGTTGTTCCCTAACATCTGGCAAGATATGGCCCCCATCATCCTCTCCTTAATACAGTCGCCCTGTCCCCATGTGCAGAAAAACACCCCCAAAGCATGATGCTACCGCCCCCATGCTTCACAGTAGGGATGGTTCTCATCATTCTTCTTCCTCCAAACATGTTTAGTGGAATTATGACCAAAAAGTTTGATTTTGGTCTCATCTGACCACATGACTTTCTCCCTTGACTCTGGATCATTGGCAAACTTAAGACAGCCCTTGACATGTGGTTTAAGAAGGTGAATCTTCCATGCCATGCATGATTTCAAACCATGACGTCTTGGTGTATTACCTAAGAACTTGCAAAATAGCAGGGTGTTCAAATCATATTTTCCTCACAGTAACTTGTGAAAGCAGCTGAATTGACTGGGTTTTATTAACAGGCATTCAATTATGGGGGCAGAATACAAAACATCACACTCAATGAGTATTACAATGTTTTAATGCATCTTCAATGGTGTGTTGGTTTATTGCATAAATAAAACAATAAAGATTAGAACACATATCTTAGTAAAAGGCCTTAAAAATATAGTGGGGAGGTGAAACTTTGTTAAATAGGAAAAAAATCTAAAGGGCTCCTGATCTAAACTGCATTTTCAGCCTCGATGCTGCAGTGATACTAGAAATCTGTAGTAAACCCACCTCTGTAGAAGCTGCCCACCCTCCTCGGCATGGACTCACTGTAGATGTTGCGGTTCTCCTTGGAGGAACCTCCGTCTTCTGCTTGTTGGTCATGATATAGGCCAACCTGAGTGACAGCAGAACGACTGTTCACATATGAAGACTTAGATGGGGAACGCTGGGCATGCTTCTTATCAGAAACATTAGCTTTTTTATTCAATTTTACCCGAAAGAATGGAAAACCATGTGGAGGAGTTTTTAACCTGCAGTCACTGGCTAAAATAAAACAGCTGCAGTGACGAACTTAACTGCGCTATCATAAGGAGTCACATTAGATGGAAGCAAAGCACACAGAGAAAGTAGAGGCATCTGATGCAGAGAGAGAGAAAGAGAGAGAGAGAGAGAGGATGACAGCAGCATCCACCCACATCCGCTCTCTCGGAAGGCTGGATGTGGGTGGGGAATGGTGGGTGCAAGCAGAATGTCGGACCTCGCTTATTTGCCGCTGTGAGTGAAAAGATGCAGTGTTGTCCCTGGTGGAGTCCCTTATTGGGGGTCTGCTGTGGGGGACTTCAGTGGGAGCCTGCTCGCTCTGTCGATGGAGACATGGTGCAGCATGAAGAGAGTTCAGCATCACAGCACATACAGGCAAAAACACAAGCACAAGCCTTTTATGCTATTTGTGTACATAAATACCCAGATAGCATGATTCACCACACATCCTAACCACAAAGCCAAACATGTGATGTTTTTAGATTTGAATTGCTTTGCTGGTAGTATTAAGTGGGTCATTAGAACCAGCTTTACTTCTCAGGACACATCCTGATTTCCTCAGATGCTGCAGGAATAAATGCTGGCTGAGGCAGAGTTATCCAACACAATCTGGTGTAGGCATCTGATATGATACGATTCTGTGGGTGTAGGCTTTCCTAAGATGGAGAGAGGTTTGTCGTGGGCTGATCACTGACCCGGCTCATGTCGTCTTCCCTGGATGAGCTCCCGGAGTGGCGCGGCAGCGTGCGGTGCTGGAGCTGAGGCGACAGGAGCTGGAGGCTGCTGGCTCTGGTGGGGATTCCCTGGCCGACCAGCAGGCCTTCGTCTCCCCCGTGCGTCCTCTGGTGATCCCTCCGCACGTACATGGAGTGGCGGTGCGGCCGCTGCTGTGAGGAGAAGGGGCTGGTGTATCCCTGACCATAAGGGAGAGGATCATGCGGAGCAGACAGAGAGTGACCGTGGCTCCTATCCATGCTGCTATCTCCGGGGTCCAGGGAATCCGGTGACTTGGCCTCTTCTGACGCCTTATGGCGGGTGGAGGAGCGCCTGTATGAGGAGTCCAGGGTGTTGCTCTCTCTGTCTGAGCGCATCCCTCCTCGGCCAGCCGTCCCGGGGCCCAACCTCTCCACCCTGCGGGACGCTGGGCTGCTCGGAGCCGTCAGGTCGAGGCAGCTAGACGGGAAGTAGCGCGATGTTGGCTCATCCGCATACAGATGCACATCATTTAGGTTTCCCACCGACTTGGCGTCGCTGAGCGTGCCGTAACTCTTCGACAAGTTCAGGTAGGCAAACTTGGAGGAGGGCGTGGAGCCGTGGGACTCTATGTAGTTGTGTCGGCTGTGTTTTTCCCCCGACTGCAGCGTGTTGGTCTTCCCTTCCACAAAAGAGTGTCGGTTCTGCTGTGAGCGGAAGTTGGATTTGAGGTACTTGGCACCGGGTCCGTCCAGTAGCTTGGCACCCAAACTCATCTCAAAGTCGCCTTTGCCCTTGGCCTCACCGGGGCTTAGCAGATGAGGCAGGTTGCTGCCGGCCAGGTCCATGCTGTAGGCGGTGGAGTGGTTGAAGATCTGCGGCTGGTAGTTCTTGGGATGCAGAGTGGGGCTGAGGTTGATGGCTGCCGCCATGTTGCCGTTCAGAAAGCTGTCGCTGCCCGGGAGGACGTCCTCCTGTCGGGGTAAGCTGGAGCACTCTCTGCTGCTGGATCGGTGGCTTCCTGAGCTCTTCCCTCCATGGCTCCTGCAGAAAAACAGAAAGAAAACATGGATGTGCCACCTTTACAACACAAAGAGCCATTTCTATATTCAGTCCAGCTAATAAAATTCGTTAACAGCCAAAAAATAACTTATATTTAACATGTACCAAAAATATCCCCTTTTCTTAAATAATCCCCATGCCATTTAAAATTTCAGGTTTTAAAATGGAGAAAAAAATTAATTGCACTTTTAAAAAATGGCCGATTTTGCAGGCAGTTGATGCCATTCCCTTTTATTTTCATTTACTGCTGTCGGAGCAGTAAATTAACAGCACTGAATATTTGAAACTCTTGATTGATTGATTTACTTTATTGATCTGGAGAAATTTACTGGTTACATCGGCTCAAATAGTCAAAAAATTAAAAAGAGCCCTTATTTAGCAGGGTTATCATCATACAGGATATTAACATGATCTTGATCTAGGACTTAAAATTCCCCAATGATTACATAAAGTTTTGTGGTTAAAATGTAGGAAAAAAGGGGCAGGAGTTTGAGATGTATTAAAAATGTATCAAGGTCTTGTAATATGTTTTCATGATGGAATAAGAAGCTAGTTTGGGATATGAAAGAGTTGCATTAAAGAGAAAACGTTCAAAACAAAGAGAATAGCATCAGTTAATGGACCTAAACACCAGGGAGATGGGGACCCGTTTAAAAGCAACTACAGCGCCCCCTGCTGACCTGCTGGGGGTGGTGTTGTCCCCGTGGTGAGGCTTTCTCTTGGCCGAGCGTACGGGCGTGGGCGTGGGCGGGCCGGGCCGTTCCACCAGGCGCAGGGTCTGGAAGGCGTGATGGTTCAGGCACTGCTCTGTGAGGAAGCGCTCTGTCGGGTTGAGCAGCAGCAGGTTCTGATGCAAGGAAAGAGGGAGCAGAAGGAGTCCTTCAAACACTCTGCACATCCAGACCTCACAGACGAGCTGAAAACATCCAGTCAAGCTGTTCTGACTCATCTACATTATCATGTAATGCTGCGGCTGCATCTTACAGTCAGCAGGGCAAACATCGAAGCAAAACATGATTAATGACATTTTCCTTTCCTCTTAGTGGGATTATTATGTTTAATAATCTCCTTAGTCTTTAATCAAAGCTGAATCCGGTATCTCAAAATAACCTCAGTGACGTGAGGACTGTTCGTGAACTCAGAACATCGCTTTGTTTTGGTTTCACAGAACTAAAACCCACAGCAGCTGCTTTTTCATTTCTTCCAAAGACAGATGAAGAGAAGTAAATGGATTGTGAGCCGTGCAGCTATGGCAGCAGAAATCAGTAAAGATAGTTTGTCCAATGAATGTTTGATGGCTTCTCTGAAGGCTGATTACTAATGAGGGTGATGTGTGTCCTCTGTGAAGTCACTCCTAGGGTGTCAGAGTGTTAGCCGTGAGTCATTATCTGCAGGAGAAAAAGCGCAAGTGAAAAAAAGCTCAGCCCACATTCTTGACATGGAGCTCCTGTTTACAGTGCAGACGCAGCAAATAACAGTGGAGCTGGAACCACGATATGAGCTGAGAGATGCCGGAGCAGCGAGGAGGCATCATGCAGTCACGAAGTAAACACCAGCACAAGGTTCTGGTTATTAGATGCAATCAATGAAACTCTAGATTCTTTGGTTTTTCCTGATGTTTTTCAGGAGGAATCACCAGGATGTGGCAGAGAGGAGAATGGAATAAATTAGGAAAGGCGGAGCGGATGTTTCATTCGTACCTTCAACAGATCGAGCAGACCTCCACCGATGATCCCCAGGTACCTTCGCTCCAATGTTTGCGGATGGTTCACAGCAGGGAACTAAGATATTAGCAGAAAGATATCAGGGTTTGGTCATTTTAAACACTGGTTGAATAATCCAATCCCTTTTTAAAGCCAAGCGCCCTAATCAGTATCTATAGAGAGTGTACTAACAGAGTGTGCGAAAATTTTCTATCCATTTGGTAAAAATCCATCCATTTTCCATCATGCTTATACCAAGCGGTGTCATGAGGGGTGCTGATGCCTGTTTTCAGCTGTCTACCGCCGAGACGCGGGGTAAACCCTGGACAGGTCACCAGTCCATCATAGGGCAACACAGAGACAAACAACCATTCACACCTAAGGAGAATTTAGTGAAGCCAATTAACCTAGCAGTCATGTTTTTGGACAGTAGGAGGAAGCCGGAGTACCCGGAGAGGACGTGCATGTTCAGGGAGAACGTGCAAACTTGCAGAAACATGCAGAAATTGAACCCGGAACCTTCTTGCTGCAAGGCAGCAGTGTTACCCACTGCACCACTGAGCAGCCCTTCATTTGGTAAAAACAGAATAAAATCCATTTGAAGTTTTAATATACAGTGAACCCTCGCTATAACGCGGTTCACTTTTCACGGTCTCGCTGCTTCACAGATTTGCATCATGCATTGTTAAACTTTATTGTCAAACATATTAATGGTGGCATGTCGGTTTATAAGGATCTTTTGGCCCACAAGAAAAAAGAGCGACAACAACTACCGATAACTATGTTCTTCTCTCCAAAACACACACCTGCACCGCAGGCTTTAATAGAAAAAAAATGCCACAGAGCAATCAGGATGCAGCGGCTCCGTCAGAACAGCAGTGAAATACTGTACTGTACACGTCAGTCACTTTTTGTCCTACTGTACTTTGTATTTATTTTCATAATCATTTTTCATTTTCTCCCGTTCCAATCCGTCACGGCGGGGCGGTGCTGATCCCCGCAATATTAACCCTTCATTTCGTATTGATGATTAAAATTATTACTTATTTATTTATAACTGTATTATTTTACTTTTATTTGTTAAACAAATGCTTGGGCCTGTAAAAAGTTTTTGTTCCTTGATTTCAATGTTGTATGGAGTATTTCATTGTATGATAACTGTAAAAAAATAAAGGTTTCTACTTCACGGATTTCACTTATCGCGGGTTCTTTTTGGAACGTAACCCCCGCGATAAACGAGGGTTCACTGTACTGGAAAAAATTGAAATCTAGATAAGTTTTTCTTTCTTTAAATAAGTGCATTTGTTGTTGGATTAAGCAGATAAAAGAGATATTTTGCCATTGGAACAAGACAATTTACATTTAAAACAAGAAGAGAAATTGCACTTATTTCAATTGTATGTTATCTAATTATCTTATTTTAAGAGTAAAAATACTCATTCCCTTGGCAAACTATCTCATTTTCCTACTCAAATTAAGGGTTAATAAAGTTAATTTGAGGAATTTTACTTATTTCTAGATCCTTTTTCCAGTGTAGATGCTAAAACCTGAACCTAAACTCAGATTCACACATATGCATAAAAATCAAACTGAACAAATCAAATAATTACAAACACAGGTGAATTATATTTAACTCCACAAACATGAGATTATCTAGACTCACCAATTATCAAGGTGCATAAATAAATAGCTCATGTAGATGATGGTTACTAAATGCACAGTAATGATTTATTCCTGCCTGTAAACTAAAATCAGCAGCCCAGTTCCCCTCATCACTAATCTCATGGAAGAATGTGGGATCTGGAAGGACTAAAACGGCTCCTGCTGGTGATATTTCTGGAACGCTCTCCACTGAAAATGTAAACAAACAGTTTGGAAAGGCTGCAGAATCCGTATCTGCTAACGGCTGTCTAAACAGGCGTATGGGTACGAAGCACAGAACCAATAAAGTAGTTCCCTGTTGTATCAGACGAACCAGGACTGGAGGAAACCAGAGGAAACGGAGCTTGTTTGTGGCTTTGTGTTCCTTTTTGTTATCAGGCAACCAGAGAGAGAGAGAGCCCAGGAAAGAGGAGCCGTTGAGATGATCCAGGGCCTCCTCTCTGCAGAAAAGGCTTCCCTCTGTTTTAAAATCCTAATGCAAACTTTCCCTCAACTTTAAGCCAGGTAGCTTTCAAAGTTTATAAAATTGTGCAGCATATTTTTAACTACGTAGTTTGAAGAATGGCTTTTTCTTATTACTCCAACAGTAAAGGTCAGATTCATTTGAATGCATAAACAACAGTCATTATGTCAACAAATGTGTCACCTCCTCCAGGTTTGTGGTTCCAAAGTGACAAAATGTGAAAAGGTTTAGGTGAACACTTTTACACTTTTTCTAATAAGTTTACTGGCATGGAAATTATTCTCAGGCAGCTGCAACGGCTGCAAATCTTCTGTGTGCAGAGCATCAATCAAACATCTTGTGTTTCTTGATTTTGAAAAATTATTTTACAAACACTTTGAGTGATAAGCAATTTCATTTTTGGGTGTTCTTGATCTCATGTCGTTAAGATAATTGGACTTTGAGAGAATGTCCACTAGTTAAGCTTTACAGACTGATGTGTGTGGGTGGGCTTTCTCTCATGCAGACAGCACTAATGATGCTGGATCTTAACTTTAAACACAAGCCTCTCTTACAGGGGAGAAGAAAAGCAACTCATGCATTTATGAGCTGAAATTAAAATAAAAGATGGCGTAATTTTCAGGTGTGACCTTTAGGAAAAATATCACTTTTTTTAAAGGAGCTGTTTGCAAACTAATTAAAAGAATCCTCATTTTCAACAGGGAAGAGAAGGAAAGAACAACAGAGGTTTGATGAACCACCATCCTGCCACATAAGACTTATCACAGTCTTCCTTCACAGTGCATACAGGATACATGATACACGATGAGTCATTGTGATCCAATCAGTCACGGCACAGAAAACTCAGCCGGAGGAAGAAGAAAAAGGAGAGAGGGTAGAGACATAGCAGGGAAGGAAAAATTAAAAAATGGAGGGGAAAATGAAGGTCAAAATAAAACTTGAGGTCGACAGGTTTGCAGTAAAGAGTGTGATGTTACCCTCAGCCCGTGGAAGCGAGGGTTGTTATAGAAGAGCTTCATCTGCTCTGGAGGCAGGGGTCCCAACACCTTCTGGATGGTGAAGAGCTGGTCGATCTCGCTCTCTCCTGGGAACAGGGGCTGCCCGTCACTCAGCTCTCCTAAGATGCAGCCCACTGACCACATGTCCACCGCCTTCCCGTAAGGAGCCCTGCCACCATGGATTTAAGGGGTTGGTAACGAAGGCATGACATAACAAGGGCTAATCAAACGAGATGTCGGTGCTCTGACTAGATCGCTGAACACAGCTAATGAGACGGCAGGCGTACCCTAGCAGGAGCTCTGGAGAGCGGTACCATCGAGTCGCCACGTACTCCGTGTAATTGGCATCAGTCCCTTCAGACAGATTACGTGCAAAACCTGCAAAGTGAAGACGTGATGAGCAAAGTCATAAAGGAAGACTTAAACATGCTTTAAACACAGAGAGGGCCCTAAAAACGACACAAAATCAGTTTCTTTCTCATTAATTCCAGCAACTTGCTTCAGTGTTTTATAAAAATTAAGAAGATTGAGAGGTACTGCGCCTGGTTGGCCTATACATATTTCAACATTATATCATTTTATACACAGAAACTTTAAAGTATTTTATTTGGCTTTTATTCGATGGACCAAAACAGAGTAGTGTATAGTTTTTTAACAAGGGGTAGCAGAACCATGATTTTTTATATTCATTACACTCAAATAAACACCTGAGGTGATTCTTTATTTATATCCAACCCCCTAGACTTTGGTGCCCTGAAATAAGTCCTGGTGCAACCATTTAAGACCAGAATTTTCCTTCACTCCACCAGAAGTAACCAAAAAGCATGGAGGGATAGCTTGAGGAGAGCTGCAGCTTAGAAGGGAGATGGAATTGAATTAATTGCTCAATAAATCCCAATGTCTCGAAGAGTCATAAGTTAAAAAACCGACAGTTAGCTGGTATAACACCAGCTTTTAGCTTCGCAAGAAACTCAATATCCTGAGCTATATCTATAGTTATGCTGCTATAGGCTTAGACTGCTGGAGGACATAGGGACCCCTATTTTATAATTCTGCTTCATTCTGTCTCTATTCTCCCACTCTGCAGAATCTGTTAGTTCAATCTCTAACGTTCTGCTCTCTCTGCTTTTTCTCATAGTAGCTTCGCCTCGTCTGTTCCTGTTTGGCTGTGACTCCATCCGCAAGAGAAATATCAGCTGTGCCTTGTTTATAGATGCTGTAGATCGGCCTGTTTTTCATTGTAGTCCTGTCTCTCTGACCATGACTGGCTGGATGTGCTCTCTTCATCCTCTGACATGGGAGCTGCCTTGGAGCTCGTCTGCCTGGCTGTGTGTT